TTTCTATAACAAATTTATATAGGATTTATATGCCTGGTCAATGTCATAAAAAGTGGAGCTTTTACTTGTATTCTTTTAGGTTCTCTATTCTGCTTTTATATTTCATTTCTATCATATTTTAAATATCAATCTTGAACAAATTAGAAATTAAAACCAGTCCTTTGCTATGGCTCCAAAAATCTAATGTCAGTGCACTGGTAGTGGTAGAAATACAGAGAGAGAGTAGCAAGAATGAAAGAGGACAGGAAAGTGTAGATGGTTCACGCTAGGCTTAAGAGACACTGACAGCAGAGACATTCCACATGTCTTGGACACATCTGTAGATTTTTAAACAAGAGTGACCAGCAACACTGGAGCTACAAATGTTACACGGAACAAAACCAGGGAATGGTTTGGCAGTCCAGGTAAGAAATGAGTATCTCAATTAGTGTTATGGTGGACAAAAACTGGGAGATCTGAGAAATACTTCAGAGGAAAAACCAGAAAGTTCTGGGTTATGAATGACTGGATTAAGTCAGGTGACCGAGATGCCAAGAACATGGTATGTGCAATGAAGTGGCCAAGGATGAACATGTCTGTGTGAAATTGAGGAGAAGACAGAAGTTGAATTTTAGGCCAGTTTATTTTGTGTCCGTGGCACATAATCAAGTTGGAGGCTCATACACAGGCCTGGGACTCAGAAGAGGGGTACAAGAGCTGTCCACATATAAACAGAACATGAAGTCACAGAAATGAACACGGTTGCTAGAAAGCAGGAAGGGTGAGAAGAGGAGAAAATGTGAAGAACAGCATGGAGAAGAGGTTACAGGGAAGTTCATGATCATCCTCCACTCGCCCTTCTTCACCCTTCCAATGAATAGAACCACGGGACTCATTAAGCTCACTATGGCTTTTATTTCCAAGGTAACTGTTATTAGTGATCATCACTGCAGAGCAAAACTAAAGGATGAATATCAAAAACTAACAGAAAGAAGTCTAAAGACTTCTCCCCAATTACTAATAATGTAAGTAATGACAAGAATTTATAATTATTCCTAAAAGGTTCCCAAGAAGCAATAAAAAGGACAATGCAATGGATAACCCGTTATTATGAAGATACTGAAGTCATAAATGGGAACAACTCACCAATTCCCCTTCTGTATCTGTATTATATGGAAACTCATTAAAACAAAACAAAATAATAACAAATATACATTTAACCACTTAACAGTCGACCCCAATATCACTTGGGTAGTGCGTTTGTTTACATGCTCATTGTCCCAAGTGTCGCTCAGGCAGGTGTCATCTCAACTAGTTGGTTCTTGTACTGGATACATTTAGTAGAATTGTTGCTTTTATATTTCCTATTATTTTATGAAAATTAATGGAAATGTAATTTTTGGTCATCCTGTATTTAAATAATTGGACAGATAGGCAGTTAAAAAGCAGCACACCGAGTAACCGCACGCCAGCCGTGTGGCATATGCTAATGGAGGCGCCGCCTCAAAGAAGAGCTCCGGAAAGCTCTGCAGCACCATTTTCTCAACGCACCATGCTGCTCGGTGCTCACGCTCCACAGGGCTATCATGCTATCATAAGCTTCCAAACCCTGCATTTTACTCTATGTTACATATAGGATGTATCCATTATCACGCCATGCTTAAAACACAGTATTTTCTCTTCTAGAAAATCTACTCCCTAGCATAGAACAGAACACATTTTCATTTGATGCTTTCCTACGCTCTGGATGAAGCTTTCTACCCTACCCAAATAAGTCTATTTCTCATTGCTAACGGTGCTTCCTCTGTGTCCAGCCACTACTTCTTTATCAAAACTCATGTACATCTTTCGAATCATAGCCTAAAACTTAAGAAAACTTTCAGATAAATCCAGACCACTTTAATTCACTCTGCTTTCTCAGAATGTGTATGCTATTTTTTTTTTTTTTTTTTTTTTTTTCCTAATATCTGAAATTTTAATTTGAGACCAAATTAGGTTTTTGAGACAGGATCTCACTATGTACCCCAGGCTGGCCTCAAACTTATAGCAATCCTCCTGCCTCAGCCTGCTGGGATTATAGGCATGTGTCCCCACGCCCAGTGTGTATGCTGTTTTTAATTTTTCAGTATCCTTCTACAACCAGTACCACTTCACCAACGTGGTCACGCTCTCTTCAGGGTACCATCAGTTCCCCTGAGCGCCAGCACTCCATGTCATTTCTCTACTATCTCTGAGAGACTGAGCAACACTGCCACATGAAGCCTGCAATAAACACCTAAACAACAGAATGCACTCAACAAAGGAATAACTCCTACCTGCCAGACACTCAGGCTCTAACCATTACTTTTGTGAAGGTCCCCTTTGCACTGCTGGAGCCTGGGAGGCCAAGGGAGGCATTGCAGGGAGAGCAGTGGAGATGCCAAGTACACAGGCAGGCTGACCAGGAAGTAAGATTACAGACGAGGGCCCAGCTTGTCAGTGATGTGGAGTAAGAAATTTGAAATTTGAAAACTAGACTGAACCCTTAGGTAGGGGGTTAAAACAAAAGGTATCACTATGAACTCAGGGTTTTCCGATCACGTCTGTGTCTGTGTGGGAGCATGCATGTTTGCATGCAAGTATACATGTATGTGTAAGTAAGTATATTCTATCACTGTCTAATGAGAGAAATGACACCAAAAAACCCCACAAAAAAACGAATAAAAGCAGCTCCTACACTTTCATATAAATACTATTTTCTACCAAAAGGCAACAGAGCTTAAAAAATAAGCCAATTCCAAACTGGAATAAAGTCCATACAAAGACATGCCTGGGAATCTTGCTGTGCCGTAGAGCAAAGGAGTTATCGAAGAGAGGCACAGACATGGGAGGAGAGGTGGGAAGGGGCCAAACTGGGGTAATGCTGAGCATTAGAATAAATGATGGCAACAGATCAAAGTTCACTGAATTAAAATGTGACACATATATCCAATACGTATACATTTTAAAATGAAGAAACTGAAAGTTTGATGAGAAATGGGATACTGACATACTTGCAAGTATATCCTCGTAAAAATACTTATGAACTACTAACCACTTTGCAATGGATAAATTTGGCAAATGCTATCTTAATTGATAAAAGGTAACAGGTTGAGTAATGGGACAAATTAAAACTGCACACCACACCAAGATGCAATGAGAGAGCAGTGCCCATGATATTCTTGCAAAAAAATGCATAACCTGCCATCAGCAATGAGAAGACAGAGACAACTCAGACTGGGAACCTATAACCCTCAAAAGCATCAAGGTGCATGAGTTAAGGAGAAATCAGAGATATGTACTAAATTCTTTAGAGACAGAGAAAGAAGAATAACAGCAAGGAGGAAAAGGTGACTGGTTGTACAACAGTATAAGTCAATAAACAGAAGAGAGAATAAAACTTCAAGGGGAACATCGTCCATCTGTTGACTACTTCATTTATATTTTATATGCACACAATGACAGAAGCGGCAGCTCTTAACCCTTCTGTGCACTGTCTCCTTACTGAGTTGGATGAGGTCTATGAACTCACTCTCATAATACTACCCTTAAATACATAAAATAAAATAAATACAATTACAAAGAAAACTAATTAATATGATTATCAAAACATTAAGAGCATGTGGCATAGCAGTATATGTAACAATATAGTTTTTCAAAAGAGATGATTTTCCAAATATATACTTGGTCCTTTTAAAAGAGTGAGATTGGCAGAGCACAGCCTGTGAGATTTTCATAACTGTAAATATTTCAGGATATCTAAAACAACTGTAATGTGTAGGTTAACAATACATGAATTAAAAGTTAAAACTAGACTCCTAAATATCACTGAGAACTGTTAATCTTTATAGTCATTTCCACCATTGTTTAGGAGGCAGTTTGAAGAGGAGAGAACCATACTTGTCTAAATAATCACATCTGTTAAGAAAAGAATTCCAGTTAATGTTTTCCTGCACTTCAAACTGCTATACAGTATGATTACATATATACTGATATATGTAATCACATAGCAAAAAACATCTGATGACAAGTTAATACCTTGTAAACTAACAACAAAAATCATGAAGGTTCTACAAAGTAAGAGTATTCTTACCCATATGCACCCAACTATAATGTGCTAGGCTATGGCATTATGATTAAGATTTAACAATATCTAATTATTTCTCTGAGCCTGTAACTTGGCCAATTTTGTATATGCTGAATTTTTTTTCTTTTTTTGGAGATAGGGTCTCACTATGCAGTTCAGGCTGGCCTCCTGCCTCAGCTTCCCAAGTGCTGGGATTACAGGTAAGCATCACCACGCCTGGCTGTACACTGAATTTTAAAAGCAAAAGATTACCTGTTTAAAAGAATTATTTGGGGCCGGGGATATAGCTCAGTGGCATAAATGCTTGCCTGGCAAGTGCAAGGTCTTCAGTTTGATCCCCGGTACCAAAAGAAAAAGAAAAAACATTATTTGGCAGATGTAAATAAATTGTCAAAAGGACAATAAATTTAACTGTTTCTAACATATTTAATCAGAAGGTTAATGAACAGCCATTTAATATGCGTAGACATTAAAAAAATAAAATTTAAAATATGAATCCTCACTCTAAGTCCTCTTAATTTTTTGTTTTATTTATTTATTTTTTGGTACCAGGAATCAGACTCAGGACCTCATGCTTACCAGGCAGGCGCTGTGCCACTGAGCTATATCCCCGTTCCCTCTTAATTTAGATATTATCTAAATGGGATATTTCTCCACTGTATATATTTAAGTTTAAAGTAAACTATTAAGATCACTGAAAACAAATATGATATTTCATTGAAATCTCATTTAAATATCAACATTAAAAAATCAAGAACACGATCACAATTTGGAACAAATATTAGATATGGGAAGTTAATTACATTAATTCTAAACATGGCCTTTACTACTGAAATCTCCCTGCTTTTCCTACTATTCTACTGAAGTACAGTAGTATATTACAACTTAATAAAAGAACAAAACAAGTGTATGTTACCTAGTTACTTTGCAGCCTGATTCAATTAAGTCACTCTCAAAGTCGAGCAGGCTGGAGGGGAGGCTGTACTCCAGTGGGGACATCAGCCTTTTCAAACGCAGCAGACCCACACAAAACCTTGCCCCCATCTCTTCTAATTCTCGAGTACCAATCTGTAACCCCTGAAAATAAAGTAATTTGATACATGTAATTAGAAATCAGTTTGCCTTTCTCTAGCTGTATCTCATTAAAATCATATAAAAATCATAACTATCTTAATAACATTTAATAGTTGGTAAGGAAATAAGATATATATATTTTTTACCAACAAACTGGGAAGAGAAAAACAGATGAACATTTTATGATTCATGTTTCTCTTGCAGTTCATGAGTGAAACCATATTTTCATACGATCTTGCTAGTACTTTTTGCAATCCAGTACTCTGGTTGCCCATGTTGAAATACTATCGTGTTAAATTACAGCTCCAATATGTATGTTTGAACATTACCTTATAGATACTCACACTGCATGATTTTTTTGAGCCAATAAAAAAGTGACTGTCAAAAAAAGAATCACACAAATCTAAGTTGATGAGGTATTAGTCAAATAATTTTCCATGTTCCATGCCAAGTATGAATCCCTATTTCAAACGGGGAAGGGACTAAAACATGCAGGGAAGGGAGCAGCGTGGAAAAGGAAATTCGACGTGTGTGCACGCACCAGCTCCGCACAGTGAACGTGTTCAGGACGTACTGCAAACATGGACTGATACAAAAACCTTTAAAAAAGAATGTCTATTCCAAATCGTATTAGAGCAAAAAGAAAATTCTGCCTCAATTTCTATACCGTTTGTTTAACCAACAGTTTCCCAATAAGCAATATAAGATTTACCAAAAGTTAAATGTTACCAATAAAACCATAAAAGATGACCTGTTAAGATACTACTTTTCTAAAAAGAACAAAATCCTTATAACAACAAAAGCTACAGTTGCAGATGAGAGCAGATATAATTAAAGATAAGTATTATAAAACAGCCTTTCAGGCTAAATGAGTTCCTGTGGCACATGGTAACTAAAGAAAATTAACTATAAAAACTGCTGCTCTGCACGAAGTACATGGCTTTCAAATGATTATTTTTAGTTTTTTATTTTTTTCGTTTAAATAGACTTTGGCCATCTCCTTCATTCTAGGAAATACAACCTAATGACTAATAGAACACTCACTTACCCTCTTAATTTAAAAGTTTTCTATATCCATTTCTGAATTAGGTAAAAGAAAATAAGAATATTTATAGGCTAAAATTAGTAACAAAAAATGTTGAGGATGAAACTGTTTCCTAAAATATTATTAGTTGCACACCTTATTAGCTAACAAGTTTAAAATGTAGAAACTCTCTGTACTTTCCACTCAGTTTACTATGAACCTGAAGTTTATCTTAAGCCTAATAATTTTTAAAAAGCATACGTTACTAAAATCTTGCATGTTAGACATGAAAAAAAAAACTGTTTAGCAAAAAACACTTCTCTTTCATAGTTTTGTTGTTGTTATTTCATTTGGTTTGTAGTTTTGGCTTTTTTTTTTTTTGGTACTGGGGCCAGGGCTTTCTGTCTACACAAGTGTTCTCTCCAACTTTCTTATGGTTTTAAATCAATATATGCTCCCTTAACTAAATCATAGAAAGAAAAATGAGTAATTAGATATCCATTTTATTTTTAAATTATACCTTTACATTTCCAAAGAAAACTTCTTAGAATACTGCCTTAATATTTGGTTCCAAAATATATTTCAGCTTTTTTGTTTTTTCAATGACCAAAAAATTTATCAAGATATAAAAATATGTTTTAAAATCAGTGCAAGTCTCAGTCTAACACAAATATAAGAAGAAAGCACTAATTCTCAGTGATCTCAAGAGGCCTCTGAGTCCCAGCCACTGTCACTCCTGCGTCTCCCTCCGACAGGCTGCTTTCAGACAGTGGAGCTTTAAATCTAAGGCTTTGCAGCCTGAAAGCATAACCAACTCCCATGAAGTAATTTATAGTCTGTTTCCACAGGTCCCACGCCCCAAGATTTCTCCTAGGCATCAAGTATGCTCTCACGCAAGAGTGGCCTTCAATTTTGTTCCCCGGCCAAGGCCGGTGAGATGTGAGAGCCTTGCAAAAGCTGCTGCCCACAGACACAACAGTGAGGACAGGCCCCAGCTGCAGTGGGGCCAACACTGCTGTTCTCTCAGCACTATCACCCACACGAAGTTGGGAAAGCCTGCCTGTTACACTCTGGAAGAACAGTCTACTGTGACCAATGAAAAATTAGGGAAGAGTCATCCAAAAGAAAGTACTGGAACTTCAGTACGTTACACTTTAGTAGGCCTCAAAAGTGTGAATACCAATTGCAAATCAATGTAGTTTCTTCTAGTCACAACAAAAAAATCATTATTTAGGTTCTCCTAAACTTTTTGATATCAACTATTTTATGTTTGTACTTTTAAAGCTAATCAATTAGATTTGTAACTCCCACCACAAAGTTAAAACCATCTTTAAGAAAGGTATACAAAGATCTCGATCAGATTCAGTATCCTATTTTCCTATAACAAAAACCAAAAGAACACAAAGCAAAGTAAGTTCTATTTCTGTTAGTATAACATCTGAAAACCTTTCTGTGCCAAGGCAAGAAAAATATTCAGTTTTGCTTGTTGCTTACATAAGATCCAATTCATTGTACATTAAGTCCTTACTCTTTAAAATTGAAAAATACTAAACTAGCTAGCACTTGAGGGTCCTTAATTTCAAGAGTAAAACCTGATTGTCTTGACAAAAGCCTATGACACTAAACAAGAACTGTTTTAGTAAGGAAAAAAAAATCTGGTAAAAGTATATGAACTTAAAAGTCACACACAAAAACTGTAACAAATTAGTTGCTTCATAAGTATAATGTATTCATTTTTTTTTTGTTTTTGTTTTTGTTTTTCTCCGGTACCGGGAACCGAACTCACGACCTTGCGCTTGCCAGGCAGGCGCTTTTGCCACTAAGCTAAATCCCCAGCCCTGTATTCAATTTTAAATGCATCACTATTTGTACAGCACACCTTATAAATTTAATCAGTATTTAAATGTGTGCGCCAATGTGCTTTCTTAAAAATTAGGAAGGTTAATAGCCTCAAATAACCAAGAATTTCTTCAGAATCCTAAGGAAGCTATTTATTTTCAATTTTCATTTTTATTATATATTTTATTATTATATTTAGTATATTTTTGCAGTACATAATGATTGCATTTCTCATGAGGAGCTGGTACTTGTACATAATACATCTTAATTCTTTCCTCATCCCCTACCCTGCCCTCCCTCCTTCCCTCTATCTCTTGGTCCTCTTCCTATCTGTGAAAGGTCTATCTCCTTATTTTCGATTATTCATCTTTTATTTTGCTCTTTATTTATATTTTTGGCTTCTCATTTAAACTTGTGTGTATGATCTATTTCACTTAACATTATGATCTCAAGGTGTATTAATTTTCCTACAAATGACTTAAGTTTAACCTTCTTTACTCAGTGCAGTATTCTATTATATGTAAATACCACATTTTCCTTATCCATATATCTCTCAATATACATACCCATTAAAATTATGCTGCTTTATAATATGGGTATACAAAAAACAACAAAACCAAAAGAACCAAAACAAAACAACAACAAAAACCCTAAAATCCCAACAAAAAACAGTTTTTATGACAGAATATGATTCAATTCCATTACTGCAATTTCCTATAACTTAATAAAACAAATGTCCATTTAGTACATAACTAAAAATCACAAGCACATATAAGGAGAGGAGGGCTTGTTTGTCTCACGCCTGGAAGTAACTGTGATGTGCTATACCTTGTACTTCCCTTGGTCACAGCCACACAGAGTGCTCTCCATGGTGTAACTTCTCTGCACTCCTATTTCCCGCCACACCACAACCCGGGCCGTGGACTCTTTAGATTTTTCTACTACAAAGCTACAGCTGCTCATACAAAATGCTGGAGCAATATGGCTCAGTATTTTCGGCAAAGTCTGTAATAATAGAAATTATAAAAAAAAAAACCAAGAGATTATTTTAATTTAAAATTGTTGTTGAAAGTACTGTACAGGTCCATGTAGCTCTTCATGCTGTAACTTATGCTACTCAAGCACCCAAACATTCACCTTGCTAATTTAGAATTTCCTTGCTCTTCTAAATAAATAGTTACCAGTTAGGAAACACAAGCGAAGGAAAGATCATAACAACCAAAAAGCATAATACAATCATTTAAGAAAACCCTCATTTAAAATAGAAGAAAAACACACTTAAAATATGAAGAAAATTTAGCTATGAAAGACTGAGAGATTAAATGTCAATTATCCCTAAATTAATACATCAAAGAGAATCATAATCAAAGCATCCCCCAAATTTTCCAACCTAAAATTATTCTCAAGTTCACCTGAAAATGAAATATGGCAGTACACCCTAGGAAATTCTCAAAAAGAAAAAAAAAAAAAGACTGTGACTAGAGAAATGATCCAACTTAGGTCATCTATGCAAAGAAAGACACACTGTAACACAGCTGTAGGGACCACTATAGAATGAAAGTTAGGAGTCAGAACCAAAGGTATTAAAGTTACTGTTGGAGAAAAGATTCATCATTCATTAAATCCTGGCTGGCACAAGTATTAAGAAGAAAGAGAGGAATTAAGAAAAGAATCTGAAGTCATTCCTCATTAAACCCAGAAGCCATTAAAAATAAGTCCTCAAATGATAGGTTTAGATTACTACATAGCACAAGTAAATTAAAAAACATTATGTAATGCATCCAAAGAGTTCTTATTTTAAAAATAATAACTAGATAACCAGTTTAAATGCTAATAAACAAGAAAAAGCTATTTTAGAAGAGATCACAATTGCAAAGCATGACAAGATATTCCACCTCATTTATTAGTCATGTAAACTGCAATAATCAGATATTACTTTGCTGTGACAAAGTGGGTACAATATATAATGATGTGAGCTATCATTCATGGCACAGTATTTGAGAGTATCACTTTGTGTCATCTTTACAAAGGACAATTTGGCAGGGGTAATCAAATGACCACTAACAAGGGTCTACTGATCAAATGGTACAATTAAAGTAAAATACACAATGGAAATCTCATGTGATTGTTAACAAGACAGATATCCAGATATGATAATCAAAAAAAAAAAATGGCCAACAAATATCAGTATATGAAAAAGCAAATCACGGTACGCTGTTTTAAAGAAAACAAAAACAAAAACTGCATGCTATCCATATAAACATTTATAGAGAGATGAGCTCAGAGGTGTCTCATACATGGTCAAACTGACTAGCGTTACGAGAATGACTGAGAGACGACCTTAACTTACTACTTTACTTCTAGAGTGTTCTCATTTTTCACATCAGTCTAATAATTTTTTTTTTTTTTAGAAAGGAGAAAGAAGAGAGATGACAGACACTAAAAAAGAAATGCTCTTTCAAGTTCTGCTAAGAGCTGTGGTTCTGTCACCGAAAAGCTTTTTGGGAAACAAGCTAGAAGGCTTGTTTAGGCACCACCATGGCAAGAAAGACACCGTGATGGAGTGGAAAGCACAGAAGATCTGAAGTACAAACTTCCATCCCAGACAAGGAAGGCCTAAAGCATGCTGAATAACCCGTAAGTTTTAGTTCACTCATTTGTACACTACCAGTGACAACAATCACCTGTATTAGAGAACACTGAGGCAAACACAAACTTCATACAAAAGCTATAAGCACAACACAGGCACAGGTAAGAACTGAACAGAACCCAATGACACAAGAAATAATACAGAGAATCAACAGATGGGATCATATCAAATTTAGAAACTGCACAGCAAAGAAAAGCAACACAGTGCAGAGACAACCTATAATAGGAAGATACATCATGTACAGGTACAAATCCCCTGTGATGAATGTGATCATTACGTATACCTAAAATACATAAGCTTAATTAAACTTAATTAGTAAAATAATTAGCTTAATTAATTAAAAATAAATACACTTAATTTAAAAAAGAAACACTTTTGCCAGCTATTCCTTGGACAGAGACCATTGAGAATATATAAAAAACTCAAAAGAAAATGAGAATCCCCCAAATAAGACTCAATCGAAAATGGGCAACTAAAATGAATAGATATTTCTCAGAAGCAGCACAAATACCCAACAAATACAGTGTGACCTGTGTCAGACTTGAGATGTACAGAACTGTAAATTGATAAGTTTATACTACTTGAAGTTCCCGTATAATATTTGTGGTGGTATGTTACAGCAACAAAAGGAACAAACACATGCGACCATCAAATTGTGACAAATGTTTCCCTCTCTCTGCCTCAGTCAACAACCCTGGAAATGTCAGTCAGGTGCTCACTAGCAGGGAAGGAGTCTGAGGAGTCCTAAAGAAAGATACATTACTATGTCTAATGGAATTACAAGGCATGTATGTCACGAAACCATTTAAGGGGCACTATGAAGTATCAGCCAACATCTTGAGAACTGTACTTTGGAGTGGAAGTGAATTATTTATTTTGTCTAACCCACAGTACTATTTTATGTTTCCTTTCATAACAAAATCCAGATAGTTAACCAAATAGAGAAATTTAGGTCAAGACAAGTAATAAAGTATCATGAAAACTGAGTCCAAAGATATTTAATTTCTTTCTTACAATGGGAATACTGTAATATATTCCCATTGTAATATGATCTTCCTATATGTCTGCCTACCACTTCCCCATCAACTTATCTAAATCTTTATTGAATGGTCATGGTGAATAAGGTACCACGCAATGCAGTAACTATTCAGAGTAGTGAACAAATGAGACACATCTGGTAGGCGCAGGCAGCTTATTATTCAGTATAAAGAAAAACTCATTAATCAAACAACATACAAAAATTAACAATATAATTCTTAAATGTTATGAAGGAGATATAATCCTGTGAATGTGTAATCAGATTTCTTTCGAAGGATTAAGTAAGAATTCCCCCAAAAGTGAAATATGATAAATAAACAAGGGTGGTGTTGGTAGTAACGGTGATCCAGAGAACAGTATTGGAAAGGCCCTGAGTGTGCTTTTGTCCAGCTTTGTCCAGACCTCTGGGCCTCTCATTAATCTCACTTTCATATTGTTATCTGGGTGTAGAATAAATATTTCTCTTTATATACCTGAGCTTTGCTCATCTAATTCATTTCATGTGGAATAATTTTAAAAGTCTCTTAAACTCTCCAAAGGTAGTGGCAATAACATTTGTTGAATGCTGACATTGTTGGGCATTTAAAACATATTCTGGGGGTCTCCCTTCACCTTTATTCTGAAGTTTCTCTCTCTCTTGCATTTAATGTCCTTCTGTCTTCTTCTTGTTTCAGAATACTCCTTGTTTCTGGCAAGTAGCTTCTAGAAAAAGGTTATCTATAAAGCAAATTTTTGAAACTTTCAATGTTTAAGAAGACCTTTATTTTCATATTTCCTGATAGGGTAAAATATAACATTTATGGGTTGGAAATCTAGCTAGAACTGCGAAGGATTGCTCCATTAAGTTTTTGTTTCCAGTGCTGCTGCTGAGAAATGTGATGCTATTCTGATATGTAATCCTTTATAGGAGGATCTGAAACTTAAGAGAAATTTCTCTTGAGAAGAGTTAATGATTTTCCCATGCATCATCAATGACCAATTAGGGACAGGGAGATGAGGGGGTAGATCTCATTCCCAACTACAACAATATTCAAAAATCTCTGGAACTAAATCTAAAAAAAAAGTCACACCTATGTAGAGACATTTTATGTCTTTAAGAATACTAAACTGAATAAGATGGTTAACATTCATACATAGTAACACTATACATTATTATATTTCACTCCAACATAATCTAGGTTCAGGGCTACTCTGTCCACAATCAAACAGTATGTATCCCAAACTGATTCTAGAATTCATAAATAAAAACTGACAAAAAGTCAAAAAAATCTACCCTACCAGATATTAATACTAATTATAAACACAGCACAATTAAAATTATATGTATGCACAGAGACAACAACAATAACGATTATAACGACTGACAGGTTCACAATATATACACACATACAATGAAGAAACGGGATGTAAAAGATGGCTTCATCAAACCCACAGAGAAAGGATGTAATAATGACTGGTAAATGGTGCTGAGAAGGCTGGTAACTAGGGGAAAAATAAGATTAGCTTTCCCTATCTCATATAAAGATAAATTCCAAGTACATGAAAAATTTAAACTTGAAAATCAAAACCTTACAATGAAAAATCTGAAACAAAAAGGGGAAGATGTCAACATTTACTGAACTTGAGTAGTTTGTAAATGTTAAATTATACTTTGTAGTTTTGTATGTTTCAAATTTAAAAGCTCAGGAACCATCTGCAATAGTTACCCTGTATCCCATATCTTCCACCACATCACAGGAAGTTGCATTCTCACTGGTATGCCACACTGTCTCCTTGACACTGCAGCCATACATAAACACATTCTTCTTTCGGGAGTGGCCATGGTAATCACAATAAACCTTGAAAAGATAATATGTGTCAAAAATTAAAGGCCTTCAAATGTATGTATTGCTAAGTGAAGGTAGTATCAAACCAATGAACAGTTAAGTTCTGCATTTCTTGGTCTTTTTATTGTAAAACAACTAGCACTTAAAAAGTAATAATATCTAGTTTAGAGTGGATCTACAATTAATTCTAGAATTACTAAATTCTTTGAGGTTTTACACCAAGCTGCATGTTCTACCCTTTCTTTTCTATCCACCACTCACTATTTAAAACACAATAAATTCAATTATAGTTAAAATCCATAGCCACCATCACCATGGGCTCAAAGACTTGTTAAAAACACTGACCTAATTTAAAAAAAATGAAAAGATTTCATGAAAAATTATTTAAAAGTTTTTAATTTAGTTTTTAAAAGCATCATTTTAAAAATAAAACAGGATAGATTCCAGCTCAATTTTATCCCTCCACAACATTTTCTTTTTTGAGGTGGGTCCTTGCTAGATTGCTCAGGCTGGCCTCAGACTCAGTCTGCTTCTGCCTCCCAGGTGGCTGAGGTTACAGGCATGTGCCGGTACAGTAGGCTCCACAAGGTTTTCCTATCTTCCCCCACAAAAAAAAGGAATAATTCAAGCACTAATATAACAAGAATACTACAAAAAAACACAAAAACTAGCAAGAACAGAATGAGAGTACTGTACATATGAAGTCCAGTACAGTCTCACACATGTCTGCCACATTTCCCACATGTGTACGGAGATTTCAGTTCCAGAGCTAAAAAAGAGAATTCAGAAAGAAGCTTCTACTAATTTGAAATCTGGAAGATACATACTGTTACCTTAATGTTGTTCAAACAGTGAATTTAAACATTACTAAAACTCATAACCAGGGGCTACCAATATGCATAAGCAAAATATCAAAGTAAAAGGCTTAAGAGAATTTTAAACAACCAACCTGATAAAATAAGATATGAATACACCATATTAATTTGACACCAACAATCATCACATAGGATATGACAATGAGAGACGTTTTTAAAAAATTGCATTTGAAATTATCAACACTACTTCTATAACCAGAAAATGATATACAAAATTATGAAATCATTAATCAATAAAACTTTTTTTAACTATCCAAAGTAAAAGCAAATATTGCCACTTACCAGAGGTAAACGTTTCACTGCAGCAAGGTACTGTAGCAACCCCTTAGCATGGTAAATTGTAGGATGCAAATCTGGATTTGGACTTTGCCACTGTCTGTTCAAATCCTCTCCACTTAAAGAACAGCGATGACTATACAAACATAAGCACAAAGGTAGAAAAACTGGCACCAATAAATTCTTATATACATTTATGATTTAATTTTGTGATCTTATTCTTGCAAGTATTTCAAATAGGTGTACATTGTGGGCTCAAGTGAATATATATTATACTTATCAAATATGTATTGAGCATTTGCTAGGTGTAAAACTTTCTGTCATATATATATATATATACACATACATACACACACACACACACACACACACACGTATATATATATCTGTGGTAAGCTTTCAAATTTACAGTCAAAATTTTCAAGCTATAGAATAAGGTAGTTCTTAATCCTGGGGTTTTTGTTCCATACTTTATAAAATTTAATGGTCACATTTTCCATTCTAACTAATCACTTGCTGTACAAACATTCTATACTGTTTGGACTACTTTGTAAAGTTGTATCTGAGTCATCCTCTAGAAAGACAGGTATATGAAAACTACATACACTATTTGTAAAAATACATTTCATTTATTCACTAAATATTAAAACCATCAAGCAAAACTTAACCAGAAAGTGCTAATAAAAATATAAATAGAATTCAAGCTGGTCAATATGTTTCTGAATTTTAAAAAAGATCATTTTAGTTTCAGAACCCTAACATATTAACTAAAATTTTAAAATTCTATTTTTAAAAAATTCAGGTATTGCATAAAATACAAAAAAAATTCATGCTGCATCTATCCTACAAGTAAAACATGGTATCTTTATCTTTGGAGATGTCCATGGCAGTGAGATTACATCCCATCTTTCAGAAGCACTCAGGGACTTGGCCAAATGGCCAGTTTAAGTTTACTTCATTAGCTATAAGCGACCTTGACTTGGAAAAGTGATTATCTTCCAGTATTTGCAGGTTAGAGAATTTCTTCTGTCAGAAACTATACCGCCTCTTATTAGGAAGAGGTTAGAAGATGGGCCCAACACTCCACATCTGTGGAAAGAGATCTCCCAAACTCTAAATTTTAAGCTTAAGCCAGTCTAAGCTCACACCTTTAATAAATAAAAAGAGAACGTAAGAGGCATGTGTTAATAACTGTTCTCATATCCTGACACCAACTTTTCTAAACAATTCAGGCAAGATCAACATTTTATGAAATCTTCTCATGGACACGGAATTCTTAAAATACCATACTGTAACTAGCATACACAATATATTTTCATTTAAAAGTTTATCTTAGATGAATTCATGAACAAAAATTTCTTCTAGGAAAATCACTGGATTTGCCTTCCGATTTAACCTGGATACTATTATTTCACCAAGTCTATATAGGACAACCACAGTAATCTACAATATTTTGGTAACTATTACTTAACTTACTTTCCATTGATGACACCATCTGGATTAAGCATAGGGACAATTTTAAATATATAGGACTCTCGTAAGCTCTGAGCAGTAGGGTTATTACTCATGAGATACTCCAATGTTCCTTTCATAACCCAACTTGCATTGGTTTCTCCAGGATGTACCCGAGCAGATAAGAAAACGTAAGGGCGATTTCCTAAAGTACACATAAAATCTCAAATTAAAATGAACAGCTACTAAAAGTTTGTATGACATTGCACTTGGGGCTTTAAAAATGTCTCTACTCAGTGTTTTCTGCTGTAAATTCACAGCGGAACTCAGTATGCATGTACTACGCACAGTACAAGGCTTGCACTACACTGTAAGAAGAAAACAAATACAAAAGCAATACAAACCATGTCCTGAAAGGAGCTTGAAATATGAACATAGAACAATAAACAGTGTTTGAGTACTGTCCTATTTATTTCTCAATGATTAATATGTAAAATTAGTTTTTTAATGTAAACTTGATTTTACAAAAAACACATAGTTGGGTAAATTTAAAATATAAAATTATTTTTAAGACATCATGAGTAAGGGCTGGGGATATAGTTCAGTGGCACAAGCCCCTGCCTGGCAAGCACAAGGTCTTGAGTTCAATTCCTGGTACCTGCCTCCCCTAAAATTATAAAACATCATAGGTAAAACAAAGAAAATATAATCTTATCCCTATTCTCACTATGATAAACACAGAGGGAAAAAATGTACTGTAGATCTGCTCAGAGATTTACCAAAACAATTTTTTCATTATGTTTAGGGATGTAAGTCTATAAAAAAATCATTCAACTCATTACTCATGTTTTTATATACAACAAGTTCCTATTTCCTAAAAAATGTATCTTCTTATCAATATCAGATACTGTGTACAACTGCATCTTTTTTCCATCACAACTATATATTGGTGGTAACTGAACAATATAAATGGCAGTGAAAAACAAACAGCTGTTCAGAGGTAGCTTTCAAAACATCTGATTGATTTCTGGTTGTTTTATTTCTAAATAAAACTGGCTGTCAATTTTCAAGTTACTGAATGTCACCTGAACTCTTAAAGCACTTTGCTGCATTCTCCTTGCACGTGACGTCTAAGGATAGGAACAAGAGAACAGCAGTACCCACAGACAGCTCCCTCTGTCTAGACAGGCCAGGCCCTGTGTCCAGGCCAAACAGCAACAGAACCAGACTAGAGCCCCATCTTTTGATGCCTAGTCTTAATATTACTTTCATTTTAAGACAGATTGAAAACAAAGGAAAATATGTGAAAATGATGGATAATTTGAGTGAAGGCAGACTTACTGAATTGACAGATATGTTCATAATAATTAGACTCTGGCATTGCCGTTATAGTCACCAAGGGACAGCTGTTTCCAGACAGGGTTTCACACAACACATCTTTTCGAAAATAGATTTGCTGAGGATTGTGTGCTGATTCCAATTTTTGAAGGTGCATCTTGATAAAAATGTAAAAGCAAAGTATAAAATCATTTTAAAACTCTCTATGAAATGCAGAGATAATGCATTGAGACCTACATATAACTAGAACTGAATCCAATTCTTAAACTGTTATCCAATAAAGTTCAAACACCAGTATTTGGGAAACCTGAGAAAGTTGATAAATACATTTACTATTAATTATGCAACATTATCAGCAGGGTCAAGAGCAGCAGTCTGTAATACCACTTTATTACTTCTGTAGTAAAAGATGTGAAAAGTCACCCTAAGTGGAATCTATTCTAACAGTGCTCACATTAGGTCACATCGTGTTATCAATCTGAGTTATGAAAAAGCTTTTGGGTTTTAAAGGCTCTTGAATTTAAATTCCTAACATAAATTTTAACTGACTATAGATCTGTAACAGCAATCTAAAATGTAAAGAATGAAAAGAAAAATAAAATGTAAAGAATGGAAATTATGTAGCACACATTTTTAAACTTCTTTTGATTTCAAAATTAATAGGACCTCATCCTAAAACATTTGAGCGACACTAACAGCAGAGAAAAAGGTTTAAAATATCATGATTCAATAGGTTAAATATATGTGTTTGAAAACACAAGTTTTAATGATTTTACTATATGGCTACACCAAATATATACTGCCCAATTCCTATTTTTGGACAGTTGGCTTTCGAGTTTTACCTGTGTTCCTATACACAATTGCTACTTGCGAGCTCACTATTTGCCAAAATACTGCAGGGCATTGGGTTTGTAGCAGTGAATAAATAAACCCCACCTGAGGAAAACACTGAGGGATCTGAGAGCAGATAATATGCAGAGGGATCCTAGCCAACTCTGAGCAGGGCGGGAAGAGAAGGTTACATTTAAACTATGACCCGAAGAATGAATGAAGAGGACAGAGACAAGTACTTCAGAGAGAAGAGAAGTAAACCCAGAGAGATCACAGAGAAGAGAGAACAAGGGCACTGGAAGAATTCCGAAAGACTCATTACAGCTAGACAGAAAGGGCAAAGGTGCGCAACAGAGAACCTAACAGAACCTTGTAAACAGGACACTGCTGAAGCATGATACACGTACTGCAACTGCAGTACTGAGTACACATGGGGTCACCTTTCTGTAAAAAGTTTAACAGGCATATACTTGACTCAGAATTAGAAAAAAAAATCTATCACTGTACATTAAGACTGTAATTCCTGTGGGCCACGGTGGTGCACACCTATAATCCCAGACTCAGAAGGCTGAAGCATGAGGATCTCTGTGAGTTCAAGGCCAGTCTGCACTACATAATGAGACCTTGTCTCAAAAAACCAAAAAGACAAAAAAAAAACCCTGTAATTCCTTGGATATTAATTTAGCATGAGGACTGTTTTCAAGTATGAACTATTCTAAAGTCTATTTAAAAATAAGTATCAAATAATAGTTCAGCTTGTGGATATGGCAAAAAGATGTGAAAAATAAATGAGCCATGGTAAGGATTTTAGACTTCATAAAAAGGGCATGAGAAATCACTGAACAGTTTTAAATAGGGGATTTGAGAATGGCCATAAAGTGCCCTCTGCCACCATGCAGAAAAAAGACCAATGAGGGAGAAAGGGGGAAAAGTAAACCTCAGGACATCAGTTAGAAAGAGGCTGGCAGAAGTCTAGCTCAGAAATGATAATGGCTGGCAAAGGCCATCGTGCTGGGATTGGAAGAAAGAGTACTCAAAATACACTAAGAAGGTTAATAAAGAACAATAATATACAATCAGGTAAATGAAAATGTCCCTAAGTTACATTTTATATACATTCATAATTATTTTCCCAAGATACATTACCCAAAATGGAACTACTGAGTCATTAAGTATATATTCTGGTGCCACAGTACTTGGCACACCAAGATTCCTTAACATTATACTTTACTGCAAGTTGTCATCTTCATTAAAGTACACCAAGGCTCATTTAGATTTCTCAGCACAATATCTCTCCTGCTCTATAGACCACATTTTTTTTTCTTTTCCTCTTCTCTAACAGTTTAGAAGCTTGTTTTGAATTATATTGCTCCAATTTCTTTCTTCCTAAACTGATCATACATTCCTGATCTTGGGCTACCAGGAAAACTTCTATTCTGGCAATAAATCTACCACAGCTGGTCATTTACTTGATTTAGTTTTGTTTTACAATGCAAATATTAAAAAATCTTAGAACCATTCATACCCCATACTGTAAGAAACGGAGCAACAATTCCACAATGAAACAGTTGCCCACAAAATATTTTTCCAAATTACATCCACTTTTTCCACTATTATATTTTCTATGGCAGTCAATGCTTCTAATTAAAAACAAGTAGAAATCTCACCTACTTTAAAATCTGTAAATCATGGAATCTTAAAGAACTGTCAATTTCTACCAAGATGGAGAGAAAAATCATGTCAAATTTCCTTCATATTTGTTTCAATAAAGGCTGCATTCCAATCTTCTGCCCTTTAATGGTTCCAGTAAACACTGTTTCTGAAACCTCCAACACTAACCCCTTCCCCTAAGACATTTAATTAAGTTTTCTTCAATCACCTGACACAAGCAAAATTCACAATAAGTCACAGTACAATTTAATTTGGAGTTCTCACCTGTAAAGTTGAATATGTATATGGATAATGATAAGCAAAGTAGCAAACATCATCTTTATGTGGAAAATTGACAGTGAAAGTAATTGTATAGTACGATTTTCCCTTTTGTCCACCTGCAGCAACTGAGCTTCTTGAGAAGTGATTTCTGCAAATGAAAAGCATAAAACATGTGTATTTCATCCATTGCCATGCAACCAGCAAGACACAAATGTGAAATACCCCATATAAAAAGTAATTCAAAGCCTTTAACAACTAAGTGACAAGTAGAAAGAGAAAATGGAAGCTTACAAATTTAAAAACTTCTTGATGGACCTAACAACAAAGATCAGATGTGACTGATTATCAAGAAGTTGGGTAGATCTTAGCTCACAAGCCATTTTGATATGAAATAGTTGATGGATCTGTGTTTTGTTCTGACGATCTTTTGGTTCACTGGTGCTGGAAATAATCACTTTTATACTTAAAAACCTGCAATGTGTGATTTACAGCTGTGATTCTAATTCAAACAAGTCAATTATACAGCAACATTTGAGGAACTAGGGAAGCTTAAACCTTGACTGGATACTTCATACTAAGGAATTTTCTTAACTTTTCTGAGATATGACAGTAACATTGTGGTTAGATTGTCTTAGAAGTTCTTTGACTTTTAGGTACATAGTCAAGTATTTTTTGACAAAATACTGTATTTAGAAATTGCTCTAAAACTTCAGTGCGGAAGTAGGGGTGAAAAAAGAGCTAAAACAGAACTCCCTATGTGTTGATAATTGCTGAAACTGCCTAATAATGCACCATTATCCTATTCTCCACATTTATAAATGTTTTCAGATCTGCATAATAAAAGGTTTTTAATAACTTACTTTTAAAGACTTTAAGTACTGCTGACATTGCATTTAAAGATGCTCTATCAATTTAATTTCTAAAATTCAAAATCCTCTCCAAAAAATGGGGCTTATAGGTTATTTATTCATGAACTAATACTGAAGATCTTTTTCCAATTAGTATATCCTGTATTAATTTAGGCACTGTATCCTGACTAGATATCCAAGGATTTAAGGATATGCAAAACAAGTTCAAGAACTAGCCCCAGGAGAAAGGGGTAGCACATGCAATAATCCCAGCACTATGGGAGGCTAAGACAGGAGGATCACAAGCTGGAGCCCAACCTGGGCTACTTTGCAAAACCTGCCCCCAAGGGGAAAAAAAAATCCTGGGGACATAGCTCAGTGCAAAAGTCTTAGGTTCAATCACTAGTACTGCCAATGAATGAACGAATGAGTGAATTAGTCTACTCTCTGCCAACTTTTTCCCCCCAAAAGTGTAACATCTAATTAGGAAGGTACTCATACCACCACATAGTAGCTATATGCCAGTTCACATACTATCCAGTAGAATACACATTACTTCATATACTGGTGAAAGGTAATTTTATTCTATCTTATAGGCAACATTAGAGGCCATAGCTAGTGTGAAAAATTAAGACACAATGCAAAAGTAGACTTTAATTCTCACTATCTGAACTTTGGCCTTCATGAAAGCAACTAGAACAGTGCCTGCTACATAAAAAATGGTTAATAAATGTTTGTTGAATTGAACTAAACCCCAATTCTAGACCTGGAAGTAACCAAGAAAAAAAACCAAAACTTTAAACAAAAAAACCTTGTCACCATTCTTATATAAACTACAACTTGTACTATGACCATTCATTTTGTAATGTGAAAAGTATTCACTGATTGATTTCTATTGTGTAGAAGCATAGAACAAAATACTTCTTTAAAAATATTATTTCATCCTTTAATAGTCTAAATAATGGGGCTGGGGATTTAGCTCAGCGGCAAAAAGCGCCTGCCTGGCAAGCGCAAGGTCATGAGTTCGGTTCCCGGTACCGGAGAAACACCAAAAAAAAAAAAAAAAAAAAAAATAGTCTAAATAATTCTGCCAAAATCTGATCAAGCACTACCTAGATCATCACTGCCTCACTCTAACTTTATAAGAAAGATAACAGAATATTTTTATATCTGTCTACTATTAAAAGAAATGAGATGCATTCAACTGCAGATGAATTAAGTATCACCTTTATTCCTTTACCTCATTTATTTGCTACTTATTTTGTTAATAAAAATAGGGAAGAAATCTACTGAGATAAAGTCCGAGAAACATCTTCATTCCCAGAAAGCAACAGCACCCAAAGATTTTTCCAAAGCCACGTTATAAACTATTGAAACAGTTTAATTTTATAAGTCATCTCTGTCTAACTGGCAAAGCTGAAAAAGAGGAGATATTAGTGCTAATTAAGCACAATGTTAAAGGTCAAAACCTACTACAGAGAAACTTCCAGCTGGAGAATAACAACAGAGAGTGAGGTGGGAGGCCAACTGAATCAAACCATGGAAGTTACCTGAAAACAAAGTGCATGCAGAAATAGAGTAAAAATGGAAAACAAGGGATATGAGAATCCTAGGGTATTTACAAGTGCAGCTGAAGAATACTACAATTATCCAACAAAAAATAACTCCTGTTTTCTTTTTTTCTCTTAGCTATTTTCAGATCTAGAATTAGGATCCAGTTCAATTCAACAAGCACTTATTTCATTCAACAAGCACTTACTAATGAACTGTGTAAATTGATGCAATGTAACTACGGAACACATCTCTAGTTGAAATAATTTGGAAATTAAAATGAGGCAAATATTTATATGCTAATACAAACAAGAAGTGCAAAGAATTATATTTGATACTATAAGAACAAAAAACTCATTGCAAACTATTACCTGTAATTATTAATTTCAGTTTTCACTGAATGAAGTCTCTAGAGTTTTAAATCTTTTTAAAAAGCTAAGGACACATAACTAAGTGGTAAAAACAAAGTTTGGATCTCAGTCTGTCTGTCTACAATACACATTTTATTTCCACTGTCTACACATCCGATATACAGATCTCAAATTCCAAAGGACTCTTCAGAATTACTACCACATATCATTATGATACAAAGAATGCAATAATAATTCTACTTTTTACCTTTACAGTGAAACTGAAGCTAATATCCTCCTTTTGTATGCTGGTATGCCATTATTCCTAGAATACTTACTTATAGTAACAAATGTCAGTTCCCATTCGAATCCACCATGGTCTGGCATTTAATGCTTCCTGAACTGAATACATAAGTGGTTGCATACCTTTGAGAGATAGAGAGAAGGGAAATGTTTTTCTTTTCAGATTTTTTGAGTTAAAAATTAATCTTGCCTTTGTAGAAAGCACCAAAGTTCACGAAAGCTAAAGTAACCTACATTTTGTTAGTATACATTAAAGAAATGAGAAATTTCTAAAAACCTATTTTCAGATCTAGAATAAATAATGTAAGCCAGGTATGGTAGTGCACACTTGTGCATAATCCCAGCACTCTGGGAGGCTGAGGCTGAAGGATTAAATTTCAAGTCATCGTGGGCAGTTTAGCGAAGAGCTTGGGGGTGTAGCTCAGTCTGAAGGCCCTGGATTCAGCCCCCAATACCAGCAAAATAATAATTATTATAATGATAGTATACTTTTATTTTTACTTTAAATGAGGATTATAACTTTAGAATGAAAAGCCATTAAATTTTTTCCATTGAATTTTACAAATGAGATCAATTAATCACAGCATATTCCTTGTAAAACGTAACTTATTACCCCTCTCCATAAAAATAGCTGTTTACAGTGAAAGGAGAAAGAACATTGCAAAATTACATTAAGTACTACATGGTTTATTTTCTTAGTTATTAAAAAATGCTTTCCACATGCACTTTAAGATAACTGTATTTAACTTCCTAATATAATGTACTAGGTTTTCAACTGGAACTGAATTAAATTCATGTGTTAATTTAGAAAGCCTGACAACTTTTACTGAGATCTAAATTGACTTTCTTTAAATTCTAATTCAAGAATATTTTATTTCCATAGATTTTTGATGTCTGATTGTTTTAACAATAAAGAACTCCTCATTTTGTTGTATTTATCTTATGTTTTCAATATCCAATGAACACTAATTTTATTCATTTTTAGTAGTCTCCTGGATTTTCTAGGCATATAATCCTATCCTGTAGAATTTTAAATAACGTATCTCCTAAGAGAATATTTATTTCACTGCACTTAAAGAAATCAAGTAACATCAAAAAATTATGAGAAACTGTGATTAAAAACAATTCTACTTTATTATTTTAATCAAAATGTGTTGCCATTCAATGTTTGCCATTTTTGTGAATCAATTTTATCACGTATAATACAAACGGCTAACAATGAAAATTCTCTATGTGCCAGACACTACTACATGTATTAAAATAGTCATTAAATCTGCCAACCACCCTAGTGGCTAGTACTATTATTATTCCCGTGTCTTAAGCAGTTTCACCAAAATTCTTGATTTGAAAAAAATCTTAATTAAGCAATGTTGCTTTTCAACTTTTATAATCTGCTTATAAAGACAGAAAGTTACCTTCATCATGTTCATGAAACATTTTAACAGTTATATGTTACTGAGAAATTTATTGAACATTTAAGCTGATATTCTATAAATTTCAGTGACCCAAATCAATAAAAAGCTGAATAAAAAACAGGTCCTTGGAAATTATGTAATATTCTTAAGACAGAATAATACAAAACAAAAACTGAGCTAGGCGTGGTGCTGCATGCCTATAATCCCAGTACTACGGGAGGCAGAAGCAGAAGGAACGCAAGTTCAAGCCAACTTGGACAACTTACGCTTTTAGAGAGACCTTGCCACAAAAACCAAAACCAAAACCAAATGGGATGTACTTCACTACTAAGGCTCTGGTTCAGTTCTCAGTACCTTGCAAAACACAAACAACATCCAAAGAGGAAACTTTAAACTGATGATCGAGGTTATCTAGAACTGTGTTATCCAATATGGTAGCCACCAGCCACATGTGGCTATTTAAACTAATTCAACTTAAATATTGTAAAAATTCAGTTCTTCAGTGGAGCTAGGATCATCTCTACTGCTTAATAGCTCCATGTGGGTAGTGGTCAGCATATTATACACTGGAGATATACAGCATTTTCCTTCCAGCAGAAAGTTCAGCTAGACAGCTCTTACTTAGCAGTATACAGCAGAACACTTCACACTTATGAGACATAGCTAAACCAGCATTAGGTTGAAAATTCAATTATTTTTATTATTTAAAAATACAGCAAGACTGAAAATAAGTACTCAAATTAAGACGGAAATAAAATAAAGGGAAGTAAGAGAATTAATAAAAACAAATCATGAAAACAATCAGATAGAAATAAAATACAGAAATACCAAAAGTGATTAGGAAAAAACAAATTCTAAACAAGCTATGACTGCTGAATGGAAAATTAAAAATGCATTTAGGAGTCCCTATATTGAGATGATATTCCAGCTGAATTATATTTATCCTTTAAAAAATAGATTGTGCTCTTAAATTTATTCTAAAAGCCAAACAGTACACTCCTAGGGGGGAAAAAACAGTTCAAACAGATTCCTTCATGTACTTCATCAAATACTCCAATTCATGAAATCTGATACTGTTTCACATTTGAAGTGGGACTTTTTCTTTTCTTTTGTCACCTTATCCTTTCATGGGAGAAAGCCCACTGGGCTTTTTCCTCCCATATCCCTAGTACTTTTCAGTCTCTTAACCACACTATATCGTATCACTTCTAACAATCTGTTGCACTTATTTTAAGCATAATTTCAGAATCCCACTAACTTCCAATTCTAGTTTGGGTGAGCTGTCCCCTTTCATCATCTTATTTCTTTCCACTGGACCAGTGGGTCAATTCCATTTCTTACACCTCACACTTCTTCATTAAATTTCACTCTCAAGACAGCAGTTACAGTACATCCTCAAACATGTTCTCAAAAACGAGATCCTAGGCAGTGATGGTGAACCTTTTAGAGCTTTTAAATATAACAAACAGCTGGCTGCAGCACACGTGCCATAGGTTCACCACCTCAGTGAGCGAATCCAAAACTCAAGCTTGTTGACTATATCACTCAAATTTCCTTGCTTGCTTGTTTTGTCTTGATATGTCAACTGCTGAAAAGGATATTTTAGATTTCCATAGCGACTCATAAGGTTCTATTTCTTGGAGCTTTTGCTCTACTTCTGCAGGTGCCAATTACAACTGAATAGTACAAAGGTTTATAACATCTTCAAGGATTACAGTATATAAATACAAAATATTTGTCTTTAACCTATTCAGTATTTTTTACCTGCAATTTTTCTTTGACATTAATACTACTTTTCAAAACACCACTTTGAAACATTACCACTTTATTTGCATTTGCCTGCTTCATCTTTGCCCAATAGTTCATTTTCGATCTTTTGTTGTTATTGAACAGATACATACAGCACAAACTGAAATGTGTAACTCTCAACACCTGACTTTGAGAAGGTTCAGTTCATTTCAGTTCATTCACAGTTAGTAGTGACCCACACACATTTCATTTCCTTTCTACTACTTATCAGATGCTTTTCTTTTTCTGTAACGTCTTGTTTTTACTGGTTCAGCTGTGTTTTCCTACACATCATTTTCTTTTTAATATGAGCCATTCTGGCCCTTGATTCAGGCACACATCCTATCCTTTCATACCTGTGCACTGATGTTTTTCTGAGACTCATCAAAGTGAATAAGACACCACACCACAACACATTTCACTTCTCCCATACCAGCCTCTTTAAAACAATGTTTTCAGTTAATACCTTTTATAAATTCTGTGTCTTGGATCTTTAGCTCTTTCTATTCACTGATTTTCCTCAGAGGGTTCAGGCAGCATATGTCCTCAATTCTTATATATACCAAGATGTTCTTTGTTGGCAGTGATGGACAAGTGAAAGATTTTACAAAAGATATCTGGCTGTCTTCTAGCTTCTTAAGTGCCACAAATGAAAGGTCCAATACTAGTCTAATTTCTTCATATGCAGAACAACATAGGGATTAAGAGTATGCGATCTGTAACTAGATTACCCAGGTGTGAATTGCAGCTTCTAAACATACCATATGAGTGATCTTGGACAGATTACTAAGCCCTCTATGTCCCTGTTATCTCTTTTGTAAAATGAAGGTAACAATCTCATCGGGTCATTTGTTATGTAAGTTAACAATATCACAGGTGTTAGCATTTAGAACAAGGCCTGGAACCTGGCAAACACTCAATGAATATTAGCTGCTGCTGTCATTATCATTTTTCCTTTTAAACATGCCATTCTTTTAAAGTGAAAGTGTTAAGATTTTCTCTTAATATTTGAAACTCAGCAATTTCACTGACACATATAAAACACACCTGACTTCCTTATCTCTAAATGAGACTCAAAGTCAGGCATGGTGGTGCACACTTGCAATCCCAAATTTGGGAAGCTGAGGCAGGCGTATCACCGTGAGTTTGAGACCAAACTGGGCTACAAGGTGAGTTCAAGGACATCCTGAACGGCATAGCAAGACCCCGTCTCAAAAAAGACAAATAAATAGATAGATAGATAGATAGACAGATAGGACTCAATGAACTATTTTTACTTTAATCTGCAGTTTGGACTGCCAAAAGACACAACAAAAGTCATTAAACAGCTAACTATAATAAGGCTATAAAAAATTTCAGGGTGAGGTCAAAGATACTTTAGATGTATTTGAAGTATTCTAATTTTTAAAAAGACAGTGTGGTCTTATTTTACTTTTTACATGATAATATTAAATTCTGGTGAAGGGAACGCTTTGGAAGTTCTGACTATAATAAAAAGTATCTGGACAAAACATTGCCCCAGCAAGAATTAAAAAGTGAGGAAAATCAGTCAACAGACTAGAATCTGCTTAATCTGATATAAAAAGGCTTTATTTGAGTAACTGATTTACTTATCTGCCAAAGGATAAGCCTTTATATGCATAAAATATGCTAAAACTGTTAATTTTGTCACTTGACTATAAACCATTAAATGTCCACAGGACCATCCAATGTCATTGGCCTCTAGTAATACCCAAGTAAAGGGGATAAGGTTTTATGAAGGACATGGCCAACATTAAGTACCAATATAAAGAAAGTCAACATGCTTTAGGCCCTGATCATTAACGTACTATGAATCACAGACTCTTAAAATTTTGGTGTTGAAGTTAACACCTTTATTTAACAAATGAGTGGGACAAGAAAAGTTTAACTGGAGAACAA